CCCTTTGACTATTAGAAAACTGATTCCAGCAGTGTGACAGGCTGTGAGGCAGGTACCCACAACAGACCCACTGCTTACAGCTGGGGTGTGCTTAAATCCAGGCTGGGCATTGTCTTTGCAATCAGGGAATAAATGTATGGGAACTACACCCCTCGGCTCACCTGTAAGGTAAATGAGATTTTTCCCATGTTTCTGTATAAACATCCACACTGACCTTATTGTCTGTGCACATCAAAATCACCACTTGTCTTTTGGTTCAAAAGCCATTCTTTTAATCTTTTGTTATGCGTGAAGCTCTCAAGTTCTTTGATGTTTTCTCTTCCTTTCAGTCTGCCAATAATTTCCAGCAAGGTGATATTTTAACTAAGTCCAATATTCCAGGAGTAATTTCATCACCAGTGCTTGTAGAAACGTGTCCCCAAAGTTACGGTCCATGGTTTTATTACTCTCTGGGCATGGACCAAAATCTCAATTGTTCTGAGAATATGAGGGAAACAAGCAAAAGTTGCTGCATTATTGCTACAGCCAAGGACACACAACAGCCAGTGAGCAAAAGCTCAACATCAGAAGCATTGGGAATACTTTCAGCAGAAACACTACTAAAGCCATTCCCAGTTCAGTAGGAAGTGTACTGAAGAAGAAGCTCCAGGTTAAGCAGACCTTGAACTTTCTTTCCCTGGATCACACCAGGTGAGTAGCTAGTCAAATTCTACATAAATATTTGGGGATTTTATTAGTAAACAGCCTAGAGGTGAATTCCTTGGTTTTTTTCAGTTAGATATATTTGAAATGGAGAATTGTCTGAATAATAATGAATACTTGTTTTTACACGGTGCTTTAGCATAATCCCAGAAATTATGATTTAAGGAGTGCAGATCTTCCTTGTTGCAAAGCCCTCAGAATTCCTGTGGCAATAGCCAGAAATCAGATAAAATGGAAGCAATTAATAAACTATTTCATCATTAGAAAATTTTCCAACACCAAAAGATTTTGCAAATCACCCAGCAGGTTTTATACATCCTCTGGCATTTGAAATTTTGTCAGTCATGAAAGCTAAATGAATGTTGAAAATGAGTACAAGGCTTAAAACAATATCACATGGGTTCAGTGTGCACAGAAATAGTATTTTAAGGGAGTTGTTCAAATTAAATCAAATCAAAATTGTTTATTTTCTTTTAAAAGCAATCTCCTCTTGATTATTAACAAACTAAAAGCTATCTCAAAAATAGCGAGGTTCTAAGGCCATCACACTCCTATTTTCCCTTAGCATTGACTAAATAGTGGTTGAAGTTACATCCCTATTTAAGTTCCACATGTCTTAGTACTTTGTATTCTATTTCCTTCATGAAGTTTCATAACTTCTGCTAACTCTGCTGGCCTGGGAGGCCTGCAGAGCACATCCACGCTCTACAGGAAGTGGTTTTGGTGTTGCTATAGCAAGCCTAAATCAGTAAGTGACCTACTGAGTAAGCAGAGGTGCTGCTCAGCAGAGAAATTACACAAATGTCTGCACATCCTCACCATTATTAAAAAGGGAGGCAGCAGTCACAATGATCAAGCCTCATACCCTTCAAGGAAGTTTCAATTTTCTCTTTTGTTCATCCCCTATGTTTTAACTGATACAATTTCTATTCCTCATCCCGCTTGTTGCAGTGCACTCTTGATAACTGGGGAGCTGTTCTTTCCTTTGCTCACAGTGTCCCCAGATAGGAACTAAGGTGGGATAACAAATCCTTTGTGACTCTGCAGTAATGTAAAGGGAGAAGGATCTCACCCTCTGGAGAATCCAGATCCTCTTTTACATTATGCCAGATCTGACTGCATGACGCTTTGGAAGAAAGAAATTATTCCTTTTTTTTTTTTTTTTTTTTTTTTTTTTTTTTTTTTTTTTTTTTTTTTTTTTTTTTTTTTTTTTTTTTTTTTTTTTTTTTTTTTTTTTTTTTTTTTTTTTTTTTTTTTTTTTTTTTTTTTTTTTTTTTTTTTTTTTTTTTTTCTTTTTTCTTAATGTGAAGCCCCTTTAATTCACCCTTTTAAAGCTTCTGGGGATCATCCGATGAAAAGTGCTAAAGAAACACAAGGCATCCCTGCTGCTTGGGTTGCAAAGCTAAAGCTCATGCTCTGAAAAGGGAAGTGTGCTTAGAACAAAGAGGTTTTGAACACAAAAACAAACCATGGCAATGCATGCTGACAAACATTTCATCTGCCTGCTGCTATTTAAATTTTTTAAATATACATGGAGTACTGTTGAGGGCCTTGCTTACCTTGGTCTGTCACTGGCCCAAGTCTGTTTAAGCTTTTTTCAAAATGAGTCCCTGCTGCCACTCAGGTATTTTTTGCTGCTGCTTTTGTTTGCCATTTATCTTTGAGTTGTTTCCAGCCTGCAAGCATCTTTCTGGTCCCAGAACTGAGCAAAATATTTCAGTCTTATAAGAGAACTGAAAGGAAGTCTAAAACTCCCTCCCTCCTGACCCTTACATAGTTGATCCATATCCTTTTGATTTCAGACCTACTTTTAAGTCTACACAAGAAAGGCTTTGCCATCTTTAATCGGGTTTGGTTGTTTTTTTCCCTTTAGTTTTGATTTCTTCCAGTTTTCTGGATAGATTTCACACAGCTTGCCACCACAGCTCTAGAGGACAATAAAAAAAATGTATGGGAACTCCTCCAAAGTACGTGTTTGCAAGGAGTGCTATGCCAGGAACATCATTACCAGAGTCCCAGTAACTAATCCAGAACTGATGCCATAACTTTTATGTGTATCAGGGGCACTGAAATCCATGCTGAAATACTTGGCAAGTCTGCCCTCAAATTAGGATATATTGTATTGATATTGGCTGTGATCGACCACAACATTCCTTGGTTTTGAGGTAGCATTTCTGAAGGGGGAAGGTTTGCAATGCCAGTTCTTGTCATATGTTTTCCTGTCTCACCCTATCTCCGAGCCCAGCTAATCTGATGATATCCAACTGTCCTAATGAGCTGCATCTACTTCTAGGCTGAAGCGTTGACAGCTGCCTGTTCTATTGCCAACAAAAACTTCTGAGACAACTGCATCTCATTCCTGCAAGTACGCAAATTGCTTAATTTCTAGCCCAAATATGAGACATAGTGATACTTCTTTTCATTGATCCAGGTCTAAAAAAAGGTGTGTGCAATCCAGCACTGAATAATTTCCTCACATGCAGTTTAATCCCTCAGTTGGAAATGAGGTTTCTGTCTACTGGTTACAGAGAAATCAAGGGCTCATGTCCCTTTCACCAGAGGTACAGTCACACGGGCTGAGGTCAGTCAGAAGGACACATTCCTCCAATTAATGTTGGCATGTGTTTATTTATATTTTCATACATTGGTAGTTCTTCCATTCGCTGCTCTTGGATTCAGAGCACATGACAAGAGCTTCAGCTTGTTCTTATTTAGGTAGGATTTAATGCACTTAAATCTTCTCCAACATCTTGCCCATCTCAAGCACACAGGATTTGGTTTCTTCCCCAAAGCTAGTGGACCCACAAATCTGGTGGACCCACAGACTTCCCCTAGGCTGCAGGTACCATGAAGAAACTGGGTAAAAGGTGAGCAGGTAAGACCAAACTCCTAGTAAGCCTTTAAAAACTAGTCACAGCCTTCTGGAGAGACAGCTATCTAAAGCAGAGACTGAATTTGCAGAGTAAATTTTGTCTTGGAGGACTACACTGTCTACAGGAATAACAGACAACAGTCCCCAAAGATGGAGAAGAGACAAACAGAAACACTGATTTTGGTCCAAATGTAGTCAGAACAAATAAAAGCAACACCTCCAGTAACAGCTGATTAGGGCAGCTCAACTCCAAATAGAAATAATAGTTCTCCTTATCAAAATAAAAACCCACGTCTGCCCTCTGCCCCTTATAAACATTATGACTTTCCAGATTCAAGGAATCATAAAAAATACTACTGAGCAGGGACCAAGGAGCAGAAAAACTAGGGGAAGCACATCTAGTTGACACAAAATCTTGTAGCATCCCAGGTCACCATTGTGGCCTCTCCCGTGCCAGCCTTTCACACACTGTTTTCACAGATGAAAGTGGGATCCATTGCTTCAATTCAGCTTTGCCTCAGTGAGTTCCTCACTCACATACAAGCACAAAAACCAAACTCTTGCTAAGATCAGGCTGGGAAGGAAGAAGGAGAGAGTTTGTTTTGTTATAGGGGTTCTATTTAGGGTTTTTTTATTAATTCTTGGGATATGCTCAAACACTGCAATGGTGGAGACCATATAAGTAGCTAGATTAGAGCAACAGACGTAATAGTGCTATTGGATACAGAAATAACAGGCATTGCCAGTTCCATGGAAAGAGAGGACAAATGAATAAACATCAATCATAACATCTGAAACCACCAGGCTTGGAAAAGCCTCTTTATTTTAGGAATAATCCACTGAAAGATGCCAGGGCTAGATCTGGCATGTGACGTTTTCTCAGGAGTATAATTGCCATTGAGGAAGAAAAGGATTTTTGAGGATCCATAAATCCAGAAACCTTTTATGCCATCATCTTTTAATCACTAAACCCTATGGACAAATAAAAAGATTATTTTGTTTGGTAGGGCTTATTTTTTTAGGTTTTTTTTTTAATTTTTTTTATTTTTATTTTAAATATGCAGTTTTTCCCAAGAATTTTTTCCAGATGTTTTTTATGCTGAAAAATTGCAGGCAGTCCCAGGATGATGTACAAATTGAATACAAAGGCAAGCGAAAAATTCAAATAGGTGTAAATCCTGATATCTCCTGGGTACACGATGGTCTCACCTCTAGAGGACCTTCTCACCTGTTAGCAGATCTAAAACACCATCAAGAATAAGGCAGGGAAGAATTCAGAAGGAAATGGTAAGTATATATGGACTGAATGTCAGTGCAACTATACTGTAAGTTCTACCACAGCCTATGGGACTAGAAAGGTATTTTTGGTGTCTGGTGTAATTTAGGAAGATATTTCTGAAGGAACACAGACTGTGCCATTTTGGGGAGGGAGGAATTGGCTTCTTCAGGATTACTGAAAACTTACTAAATAAGAAGCTTTCTGTATTTCCTCACAGCTGGAGAGCAATCGTTGCAACACAGTTAGAAAAGCTGGAGGCTGAAAGAAGAGAAATTCTCGGATTTAACCTTACATTACAGCTGGTATGTGCAAAATGCATCTGGGTTCTGTGAAGTGTGAGATACTGAATATCTCTGTCTACCTCAGCAATGTTTGGAGCTTTACATTAAGCTGAGTGCTCAAATCCCAGAAGGTGGCATTGGGAAACCAATCCCTTGGGACATCCTTGGTGTCAAATTCTCTGAGGATACTTGAGTAGACTACGTGAAGGGATCACTTAAGACATCACAGGGAGGTGACATTTACCTTCTGTAGGGCATGAAGAAGACCATATGTTATAAAACCGTGTTCAGCTTTGGTTTCCTCAGCAAAAGAAAATACTAAAGAATAAATCCAAACGTCACCACAATGCAGTTTTAAGAGGTTTGAGATACTGATTCAAGATGTGGATGCCCAAAATACACTTTAAGGGTGAAATGCTGGCACCATGAATATCAGCAAGAAAATCTCCTGGTGACTGCATTGGAACTGCATCCATACAGTTTATCCAGACAAAGACAGTATAAACACCAGAGACTCAATTGTCCCTGAGCTAACAGCGCTCAGTTGTTTAAGCGCAGGAAATGGCCCACCCTTTTCCCACCTTTGTACACCCAGGCAGGGGTCAGACACAGTGTAGCTGCCACAAGGGCAAGGCTGATCCGAGTTAGTGTCTGGCATAGGGTGACTGAGGCAGGGGGGTGGCAGAGCTGCTGCCCTGGAGCTCTGCAAGTGATTGCAGAGGTGGCCACAAATGGGGTGAAGGTCTGGTCAATCTGTGAAAATGCCCCATGGCTGAACAGATATGTTCTATCAGTTTTCTTGGAGAAACTGGGTTGAACCACTGTTCAGGACACAGTTTTCTTTCTTACAGTCAATACTCAGGTGAAAGAAAGGTTTCAGTACTTTCCCTTAACAGTCCCCTAACAAGGGGAAGAAGTCTGAGGAATCAAAAGTACCGCTGTCATTGACAGAACACAATTCTGCCTCCTTCCAGTATCTTTAGCCACCATAACAGGATCCTGAAGTACTTGTTTTTAATTCAGGATTGAGGTGATTTCATCCTTCACAGTCATTATCTGAATAAGCGAGTACATACTTCTCTCATTCTTCATGTTTGTCTTGATTATTCACCTTCGGTAATGGAATGTATAACTGGAGTGGGAAGGCATGAGTTCACTGCCAGGGAGTGCCTCCACAGGCAAAATGAAAGGCAGTTACAAAAATCAAAAGCCATGATGAAAGAGAAAACTCTTTTTTTTTCATTTTCTCTTAACTTAAAAACTCACTGTAAAAAAATGGCCCAGCCCTTTCCAGGAGGTCTCCACATGTTAAGCATTGTGAAGCCCTCATCTTGGGAGTAGTGGGAGCAAGCATTGAGAGCTGAATTTCCATGCTACACTGATATGCACACATTTAATCCAGTTGTGGTTTTCTTAATATGCAGGGATCCTAAAGTCAGCTCTGGTTCGACTCATCAGTTCCAGCGAATTTTTAAGCTAAGGACTCTAATAAGCAGATTCAAGAGCATCTGGGCAAATTTAGCTCCAACCAATTTGCCTCGAGAACATCCTTTGAATACATTTGCATAGTCTGTGTTCACAAAGCTACATAAAACATGCTTTGCCAGCTGTAGCTGGGCCCCTCAGCCTGGCATGCTGCTGTCGCTGCTGAAAATCCCCTGAAGCCATGACAAAATGCTTACAGTCATTCACCTTTCATTTGATATTAAGTTAATATTAAGTTGATATTAAGTGTACCCCTGTATAATGATGTGAGACAAAAGCCTGGAATAATGGTTATTTAAGCACTGGTCAGGCAGCCTGCAGGCAGGGGGCTCATACCCCACTGTGCCACAACCTTAACCTGATGACAGGATGTCTGAGGGTAAGAATGTAGAGCCACTGCTACCACCCAGGCTTGGCTTTCCCACTGCAGCATAGTGCCAAATTTGATAGTCTCTTTGGTGATCCAGGCACATGCCCATTAAGACAAGTTTATTTTAAAGAGGTTAGGTAGCAGCTGATGGGTGGTGGGAATCTCCAAAACAGGCAGTGTTTGAATGAACAATCTACAGATGTGAACGTCAGCAGACGTACTGGCAACACCCCGTCCTAGAGTCTTTGTGAACTTTGAGTACTTGCTGTTTGGTGCCTAATTATAGTCCCTGCAGCAGTTCATTACTTACAGCATATTGGGATCTAAGGATCCTGGTCAGACTGAGTCCCTTTGTGCCAGGTGCTGCACAAACACAAATGCCAGTTCTGGTAGATCCTACAAGACCTTGCAAACTCTTACCCATGTGCTAAACTTTCTGTACAGCTGTAACTTCACGGGGTTCAGTCTGATCTGTGCAGATATGCAGTTCTATTCTGTTCTAGTTCATTATCTATTTAACACCTATTGAACCCTCTGCAACTGCTTAAAAACATAAAATAAATCACGCGCCTGAATGTTTGTAGAATGTGGGGCTTAATAAAGACCAGTAGTAATATAGGCAGAGGAAAGCTTGAGGGAGAGGGAAGATAAAAGTAACCATATAGGGAACTGGTGATTACACTGAGTAGCTACATACATAATTTGTGGGCTTCATGGTTTGGGAATTCTGTTTATTTGCTTAATGCAAATGAGCAAGAAAACTTTAAGAATCCCTACCACCTACGGAAGCCAGAGCTGCAGTGTTGTAGGCCTCACCCAGTGCATTTATAAGTCCTTCCTTGTTCAGCAAAGAACTTGGCCACATTTTGCCCTCTAAGAGGAAAACACAAAATAGCATGTTCTCTGCAAGGACTGGGGACCCCTTACCTGCACAGTCCAACCCCCCCAAAAATGTTATCTCCCCCCCAAATACTCCTGTACAGTGAACATACAGAGGGAGGACCCCGTGAGGTTTGGGGATGATGTTTCTTTCAATATTTGTGAACTTTTTTCAGTATTACATGACTAGCTCTAACCAAAAGCCACCTTTGGGAGTGTTCTGTATTCAATTTAATTTAGACATATCCATTTTAGATGCAAGTTCTCACCATGCATCACTTTCAGAACGAGTTTCTTTGTAAGCTGTTGACAGAAAATGTTTATAGCCCTATTATACTCCAGTAAAAATGCAAACTGAGTAATGGATGTAATATCTTTTCCTTCAGTTTACTGGAGTTTATTTCCCAGTTGTGCAAAGTTTTGTCCGGATTTTTTAAACAAATTCACTTTCTGACTCAGGCTTTTTGTTCTCCGTGAATGGTTTAACAAGCTGAAGTTGGGAGAATTTGCAGAGTGTGTCTGTTTTGGAATGACAGTATTTCCAGGGAACCAGGATTCCTAAAACCGATTATGTTAATCAGAAGTGTGTTGTAACTCCTCTGCTTTGGGAACACTGAGATAACAGATCACCTTTAACTTACTGACACACATTGAGTTTTGACTCCTGAATAGCTGCAACAGTCTACACGTAGAGTATCAGCTATTTGTAGCACTTGGCAAACAGGATAAAATAGGTGAAACTGATTTTTTATCAGCTCTCTGCAGGTCTAAAAGTCTTATTTAACAAAGGGTTTCTATACTTACTGAAGTTAAGCATACACTGAAGATAAGCAAAAGCCTGAAAGCTTTGCTGAATTCATACTCGGTTAGGTAAGGTTATTCAGTTTTTGCCTAATCTGGGCCACAGCTAACAGCTGAGTAGTGATACCGAGTGTAACAACCAGGACTCCAGGGAGGGTGTGGATGCTATTTTTGACCCACTTAAATTGATTGCTATTCAAGCTTTGTGTCATTTACATGTTACAAAAGTACAGAAAATCTACAAACAAACCCAAGTTAACTGCTTGGTTTAATGACACCTCACTTTCTTATAGCTTTCCAGAGCCCTTTGGCTTTTTACCCTGCCTGGTGACTTTGTTTTCACCCCAGCATGCCAAGTTGGCTGATCTTCCTGAATATTGATATGTGAAAGGAACAAGCCTTCCCTTTATTTAACGTGGGTCTTGTTTGCTCTTCCTGGCATTAGATCTTTATTACGTCTGCAGGGAGGGTTAGCATTTAATCTGTGGGTTATTGCAACGTGTCTCCATCAAGATAGAGGCATGCCCCAGCAGGACAAGGTACTGTGAAAGTTCAGATTGCTGCTGTTGCTTCCAGCAAAGGAAATTATTTTTCAGCCACCCATGTTGAATTGCCAGTGGCCAACATGAAAACCTTTTGCAGACCAAAAGCTCCCAGACCACAGATATTTACAACACATAAGGTGCAGCTCAGGGACCAGCAAGTCAAAGGCTGAATCCTGAATTTTCTACTGAAGGCTTGATCTTGTTAAGATTGACTTGCTTAAGAAATCTTCCTTTGTGATATTAAACCTATTGATTTGAACATGAAACCAATCCTTTTCCTACTGAAATTCCCCCTGAATAGGGGTAGGAGAAGCCAAAACTTGTGGATTACACCAGTGAAAGAACATGCTATGACCAGGCATTATGGGCTTTGGGAGGAACAGAACAGAGTACATGATTAGAAATCACAGGATCATGCTCTCAAACCAAATGCATGGTCCTTACAAGCTTTCCTCTGAAATGAGTGGGAGGGAGGCTTTCAAGGCTAAGTCAATGCTGTATTTTAACACACCTTTGCCACAACTTTGGTTGATGGTTCTCCCAGCGTACCTGTCTGTGGACAAACCACACACAAGGTATTTGTGACCTTCACGTACAGAGTTTGTTCTTTCCAACAAAAGCAAATGAAGCTCCCAGCCCATGAAGAAAGACACTTAGATTATGACAACCTGCTGACATACATGATAAATATGGTGTTTTTTTTAACTCAAAATAGCCAGAATACCTCTATGAAATATTCTTTCTCACACAACACACTGTTTTCTCATTATGTGTGTTGACATTTTTCAGACTGACCTCAGCTAGATATTTTGTTCCGGAGTCCCCATTTAGTGGAACATTTAAACAATAACACTTTGAAGCATGCTCAGTCTCTCTTTTGAAGTCCATTCAGGCTCTGCCCTAGGGTCAGCAGGCGCATTCCAGCAATGATGCACGGACCATCTGCTGTACAAGTTTAAATCCCACTGGTCCTATACCTAGAGGTACTAACACGTTGCATAACTCGTACTGAAAAACAGCCTGTCAGTTCAGATGGGGCTTGGATTCATTCCTATAGTTCTCTTATCCTCCCGCTGGAGGGCCTGTGTACAGTAACCTTTGAGTGTGGTTTCTGGAGACTACAAATTAATGAGATAAATAATAAGAAATGACATTAAGTTCTTACATTCAAACCCTTTATTTTCCTTTGCCCATTTACACCCTGGCTCTGTGATTCCCAGAGTTCACTGTCTGAAATCTCATTTAGGTGCCTTCCTGTTCCAGTCTTTTCACTTTGGTGGGTTCTGAATAAGTTACTCTAAATAGTGATCTGTGGCCTAATGTCAATTGCTGAGCATGAGAAAACCAGGATGGTGCAATATGAAGGGTGAGTTTTCCAAGAAATATAAGTGATCACATAACCAGTGACCATTTACTTGGGTAGGAATCTGGCATCAAAAATAGGACAAAAATCTCTGCCAAAATATGTCTTTGTCTATATATTTTATCCATTGTGCTTTAATGCCAACTAGACATTATTAAACTTAACAATGCATTGGCTAAGGTTAATGTATTTCAGACCCAAGCACTGTTGGTCTCATTGATGCTATGTAAACACAGAGGAAGGAGTGGTCCCTGCCCTTGGGAGTTTAAAATCTAAACTTGGACAATACACTTCAAACGTATGGTATATCCTGCAGGCTGAACTACCAAACTTCAATCAGCATTAGCCTTAACAATTAATTTATGTTGCACATATGTTCTGCATTTGGGGGCATTCGCCCTGATGGGCCCCTTGACAGAAATGTGAGTGTATGTACATGCTGACCTTTTAATGATACAGAAGAACGTGGCAACAAGCAGGAGGAGGTCAACTGAGACCTGTGGGATGGAGCATGGCACGAGGGTAAGCATGGGAGAGAGACATAAATAGGGTACAAAAGAGGGAGATTTGGAAGTCTTGTGGCATAAGTGAAGGAGAACAGCCATATCAGAGCAAGTTTTTCAGAGCAGCTCTAGCACTAGTTGAGCACCAAAATAAGTGGGCACATTTCCATTTTTGAGTATCTGTCACTTATTTAGATGACTCCTTGGAAACTGAGTTCTCCGGAAAATCTGTCCTCAACGGTGGATGCTGAGCACTACACAATCTGGCCTGTTCATTTCTCAGTATGTGGTTCATCTGCTCTAAGGAACAAGTCCTTCTGGGGAAGAAAAAAAAAAAAAAAAAAAAAAAAAGCAGAAAGAAGTGTTGGACACAGAAAAGCATGCAAGCTGCCTCGTGGGCTATGAACAAGAAAGGCAGAACAAGCAACATTTCATAAACCATGTGAAGTCAAATGCTGAGCCACCAGGACCCCTTATAAACACTGCACTACTCCAGAAATGATGGTGGGCATGGGCAAAATCACTGAGAAGTCAGAAGTTATAAATTGGCTGATTTGCTTTATTTCCCTGCTCAAAATGTTCATATCTGTCTAAAAACAAAACAAAACAAAATACCAAAAAAACCAACCAACCAAAAAAGTAGAATGGAAACATTTGCCCCACTACCCTACAGGAGAAAACTGTGAACATTAGTTAAGGTCAAAACATAGCCTCAGAAGGAAGAAGCAGCCCATGGGCTTGATGGGACATCATCTGAGGCTTTCTGCCTCCACCAAACAGAGTAGAAAACGGCACAACAGAGCATGAAGTGACCCAAAGCTGAAGAGCATAACATGGGACATGCTTCCATGTATGCAGAAATCCAGTCCCTGGCTGCGTAGGGATATAAATCCCTCATGTGGTAGCCATGGCTCAAGATGGAGTGTGACATAGCACTTGTGGTAGCCAGTCAACTTTTAGTTAGACCTCCTCAGACCTTGCTGTCCCCTCTGAACTTCTGAATCAAAGCATAATGCACCTCTCTTTGCGTCACCTCCGAACTTGTCCTTGGATCTCCCCGGTGGGATCCTGTAAGAGGATCAGATAGGCCAGGAGGGAGCAACTCCATTGTTTAAGCACAAAAGGCCACGTTCATTAGCAGGCAGGCATCTTAGAACCAGTCGTGGAAAAAGAGAGTGGATTTGCCATTAAATCGGATATTCCTGGAGGTTTTCCTCAGCACAGCTCCCTCTTTAAAGCTAACAGAAGCAATTGAGAAAATTGCCCAGTAATTCCTGAGTTCCAGTCCCAGCTCTGACATGAACTCTGAAGCCAATATAATCCTCTTGTTCCTTACAATAAGGCCTCAATCCTCCCCTGCCATAAACCAGCCTAACGCCATTCACCTAAGTTAGTGTTACCCCATTTGAAGATTTGGTTCAGAAATTAGGGCACCACGGGACAGGATCGTACAGAAATATCCAAGAAAATCTGGTCCTCGGAGAAGTTTACACTCCAAAACAGCATTATCTGTACTTGTGAGCTGTCCTTATGACATTTTAGGCCCACGGAGCAGTTACCTCCTAACAAGACACGTTCCTGTGAGATGCAGGTTTATGAGTGATGGGTATCTCTTGGGATAATTAACCATCTTCAGGTCCTGCTGCCAGTGATGGGAGGGAGCCTTGCAGTGCCCACTGCACAGCCATACATTCACTCTGTGGAGGAGTTGCCAGAGACTTGCGTGGTGCAGGATCCAGTTCAAAGGGGCCAGGTCAGGAGCTGGTAATGACTCAAAATTTAAGGAAGGTTCCTAGGTCACACATCCACTGCCATTTTATAGTTACATTTGCCCTCTTCTTGTTAAACAGCAAATATTTTCTTGGAATCAGTCTCATTTCTTATGCCAGTGGCAAAATAAACCCCAGCTCATCATGGATATGTCCTTTCCAAAGAATTACCACAAAAATGTCTGAAACCCTATAAAGGCTGTTAATGACTCTAAATCTCCATAGGGCTTTTTTTCCCCTTCTTCTTCCCTCTTTTCTCCTTGCTCTGACAAGCTGGTGAGTTGGGAATGGTTTTAAATACCACAATAGTCATGGCAGGACATCAAGAAAGAAAAAGGAACAGAGTTTTGAAATATTTTGTGCAAGGCTTCAAGTACTTGAGTTGGTGCTTAACTGACTGGCGTGTACCACACAGCAGTCAGATGATCTCTGCAGCTTTGGGAAATAGGAGAAACTCTGGAGAAGGGTGGGGGGGAAATGGTCTCTCCCACATTGGTCTTTATTGTCTTATGGATTTTATCACAGTATTGTTCTTTATTTCCTGCTATTTATAGGCTCTCATGTTTTGTGCTGCTTTCATGTTTGTGTTATCTGCCTTCCCACGACACGCTTCACCCCAGCCCTTGCCTACAGCTGGATCCATAAAGGACAGGCACGTGGGTTTGACTGGCACATCAGGGCTCATCTTCCTTCCCTCTGCAATGCAGGCAAACTGCCCTTTTCTGGAGCACTAAGCAACCCAAGACGGTGATTTAAATGATGGTGGTTGCCCTTGCACACTCTTGCCTAAAGGGATCGAAGAGTTTGTCATTGGGCTTTTGGGTATCAAGCATTGACATCCTTTAAAAGCCCCAGCCAGTGATGCTGGGGCTGTTTGCTCTGAAACCCATGCTTTTACAATGAATTTAAACTATTAGCCCATCAGTACATGACTTGATGATAACCACTCCAGAAAGTTCACCCAAATTATTTTATAACTCTTGTCTTTGTGCAAGGTACTACAGAGAGAATGGGCTACAGGGGCTATTCTTCTCCTAATTCCCTGTGACTTAGGGATATAACTCCACTGACCTGAACTTGCAAAAGTGAAGTTATTTCTGGTCTGAAACAAATGGTGAGATTTCTTAAAGTCAGGTCCCTGCCCTAATAAACTTGCTGCCTAAAAAGTGGCTCCAATAGGCTGTGGGGCTAGAAATAAAAATGGGAGAGGTGCAAAATAATGCTGAAATCACTCAAGTCAGTGATTTAATCCTATCAATTGCCTTGTACCACACTCCAGAGCAGTTTCCAGGTAGCCAAAACAGCAATTCCAGGCACGAAACAGAAACCAGGCTGCTGGTTAGGTGGGCTGAAACTGAGGGATTTTCCCCAAACAACAGTCCCTTTCCTGCACTTACGGAGTGACAACAAGCCTCTCACACAATTCCACAACTTGCATCACTTCTTGTGTACCAAGCAGCCTGCCTTGGAAGGGACCACACAGCTCAATGCCAGTAACAACAGGCAAAAACCCTTCACCTAAACAGAGAGGAACAGCAAGCCCTGCTTTGGGACCCTTTCACAACATGTATCCAGCAGCAACACCTGCTATGGGCTGCTGGAGAATTTTAAAGAAAATTAAAGAGTTGATTAAAGATAGAGCCAGGCTTGGACAGCTTTTGCTTGGGGGATTTTTGGGCAAGTTACTCCCACTGTTTTAACTGTAAATATGTGCAAAATGGCCACAGAACATCATTCTTCAGTGCTGGGGAGCAGCATAAAGGCACCTATTTATTGGGGAGAGTCACTCTATTTTGCCTCAAATTGTGTGTATTCTGGGAACATCTCTTGAAAAAAGAAGCAGAATTTTTCTGTAAGCAGTGTGACATTCAGGTTTTATGCAGACAGTTTGACACAGGTTTCTGTAGTTAGGTTCCTGGTGGCAGCCAGCCTGAAAGAGGAGACATGGTGGAAATTGCAAGCATCTGTAATGCAGACTAAGCAAAGATAAAGTGCAGTGCAAAGAGAATTAAGTGGTGTAGAGAGCATGGTCATGTTGGTGAATCCTGGGATTCTTTCTAAGGTGCTGCTAAGAAGCCAAGCCATGAACATTGTTAAAGCACATGCTTTGTCTCCCAGACACCAGGGAGTCCCAAAAGCTGCCATCTAAAATTTTTACAGAGAAATCATCCATTGCAAACAATGTGGGGAAAGCTATGTGGAAATTCTTTTTCAGGGTGGGAGGAAATAAATCGCTAGTAGGAATTCCACCACACTAGAAACCAAAGACTGGACCAACTCTCATTCCATCTGAGAAAGAATTAAAAGCGTGAAACCAAAGTTTTCCAGCAGAGACTGCTGCAGAGGCTTAAAAGAGTGGCTCTGGAGCAACTGCTGGAAAATATAGCCCCAGTCCTCCCAAAAAGTGCTAAGTGCCTGGGTGTTCATGGAGATCAGCATGGATAAGGCGGTGTCACCTCTCCCAAGCCCAGCAATTACATTCTCCTTCTGTCTTTTGTTTCAGCTGATGAAAACCCAACTGTTTTCAGCTTGGTGTCTGGTACAAGCCAACCCCTGTTTATCTCCTGAGCCACACTTTCCAGCATGTCATCGGGTGCCCTCTTGGCCACCATCTAAGGCACACTGACAGGTTGCGGTAGTTTTCCAGTCAGACTTTGAGATGGTTATTCACACTTTTATCATGGCAAGATTAGATTATTGTAATTCTTTATATTGGCCACCTTCCCAAGGGGGGCTCTGCACAAACTCCAGATGGTGTGAAATGTGGCCGGCAGGATTTGAGTTAAGAAGGGACAGTATCATCCATTCTGTTAAAACCTCTACCTTGGCAACTGGTTAGACAGCAAACTGATTTCAAACCTGTCCTTCTTCCCTCTATGCCCAGCTGAAGTTCAGGTCTCTGTGAGCAATATTATGATTTGTTACGGTCTGGAGTATGTTACCCAGGCTCACAATATCTGGTAAATAATTCTCTGAGGAGTGATTTCAAGAAGGTGAAGGTAGTATAAACCTGCTTTTGATCTGCTCATTCTGCTCTAAAGCCTGTGCAAAAACTGGGTGGAATACTGCAATTACACCCTTTGCAAACATAAGTAGTGTCAGGGAGCAGTGGGATCTCCTGCTCTTACTGCACTAAAACTGCAGCCTAAAGATCACCCCCTGCCCCCTTCTGGGCAACTGCCTCCAGCCATAAGGCAGCAAATCATAGCCCTCCTCTGGCACAGCTGGGGACAAATGGCAATGCCAGCCTTATCCCACAGAGGCAGCCACCTAAATGCAGCACATCCTTAAAGTTCTTCTAAATTTCAGGTGAGTAATCTCATCCCTTCTAACCTCAGTGTGAGCTGCCAAAGGGACACCCAGACAGCAGCTGGACATCCTGCTCCTGCTCTAGGACTGCAGGGCCTCACCTGCAGAAAGCAGAGACTGCTGGTACGTGTTCCTATGTGCCATCTTTCACTTTGTATAAACAGTGGCTACACAAACAATTGATAGGATAATAACTGGCTTCATACAGACCAGCACAAATAAAACCTTCCGGTGTTTTGGGCTTTTGTCTTCTCAGAACTTTCCATTTCTAGAAGAGCACGATATGAAAGGTGTATTCCTTCATATTTCATTTGTTTTCATATTGAGTCCAAGAGTTAAAACCTTCCCTGATTTAGCTCACCGTGGCTAAACTCCTGCAGGCCTTTTGTGCAAGGTAAGAGTCTTAGGCAGACTGTAATTAGAATCTAGTAAAGAATGATCATTTGGCTTCTTTTTATTAACTGCTATTGACACAGCAGTATGTGATTTGCTGCATAAGAACAAGAAAGGCTGGGGACAGCTTTTGCTGTGCAGTGGAATGGCATGGCAAACACAGCGTGCCCTGAGCTGTTTACCTTCCCCGTCACTTCTACAGGGAACCTGTGACCTGCCACTCACGGACGTGGATATAAAAGCTGTTTTGGTTGGTTGTTTTTTCTGTTAGTGCAAGACAGCTGACACAGACTGTTTGCTTTGGGAAAACAACCAAACCCTTTTGTTTTGCATGAAGGGGGTGAAAGAACCTGTATATATAGAATTGCCCTGACTCTGCAAACAGCTACTGCACAAGGAAGAGTGAGTGACAGTCAGCTTTGGGGCACAATGACTGTCATTTTAGAAATTCAGAAGCCTCAGGAAGCTGTTGAAGAAAAAAAAATATTCCCCCACATGGATAAAAATACATTTTAAAGAAAAAAACCAGCATATGAGAGAAGAGGCCAAGTCAGGATGAAATCATGAGAATTAGGAGTTGAGAAAAAATGAGATAGAGGTTGTTCTCTGCGCTTTGAGCTTAGCTGATCTGTACTTGCCATGGGACTGGGAAGTATAAACAGACCTTTTGTACCACTTTTATAAACCATGTCCTGCTGGAGCAGATGTCTGGCCATTTTAACACAAGAGAACTCATAGGAATAGCTTTGGGATTACTGCAGCCTCTACCACCCTGAGAGCAGCTTCAAGGGCAGGAGTTACCACAGTCTAAACCCAGCACTTTAACACAGCCCTGCCTCAGTGCTGCCTTGAGCATGATGCTGCCTATGAGGAATGCTGACAGACCTGCCAGTTGCAGGTACCCGTTTGTTCCTTTTCCAGGTTTCTCCAAAACAGGAAACCACTCAGCTGCTGAGCAAAGGTGCCAGTCCATGTCCCACCATGCTCAGGCCATA